CTCAATGCGCTGTACACTACATGTCACACTTACCCCATTCACACACATTCATACAGTGATGGCAGTGGCGGCAGTGGCTGCATGCCAACTGCTCACCAGAACGGAAACTAATCATCTATACACACTCATACACCAATTCACAGCATCGGGAGCAATTTGGGGTTCAGTGTCTTGCTTATGGACACTTCGACATGCAGGGATCAAACCTCTAACCTTCCGATTAGTGGACAACTCGCTCTACCTCTGAGCCACAGCCGCCTACATTCCTGAATAACAGGGACCAGGCTGTAGAAACTCGTTCTGCGTTCTATTTTAACAGTGGCTTAAAATGACTTAGTAATTCATTTTAGTTGGTGGGATAGATGGATATAGATATATAAACCACAGTCATGAGAAAACATGGATATGCTTTCATACAGGAAAAACAAGTGAGCGAGGGGACTACTCCAAGGTGCCCCCTTGTGGAGCCGACTGAGTGGAGTAGAGCTTGCAGCTGTTTCCAACTGTTGTCCAGTCTTTGAGCTACACACCACTGGGTGATTTAAGTGGGTGAACTAACTGTCTGATTTGACATTCTACATTCTACATTCTACAAAGGTTTGGAGTAATTGGCCCAATTATAAGCTCATGTTTTTTCTTCTACACAGCTATACTGTTATATTGTCAGACAACAATAATAAGTGTATATTATTATTATTATTGTATATTATATATTAGTACGGCTGATCAGTCGTAGTAAATGACAGTAGAGAAATGTTCGGTATGTATTTGGGTCAGAATAAAAAAAAAGAAAAAACAAGTCTATATCAATGTTGTAGGTGTATGTTGTGTGTTTGTATTTTACACTGTTGGCCAATATATCATCAGATTGTTTCAACTCCCGCATGTTGATATCAAAATTGGCTTCAAAGATTTTAACACCCTGCAATTGGACAAAAGGAGGTATTTACTGTGGAATCTAGACACACCGCATCAGGCAACAAGAGAAGGAGAAGGAGGGGGGGGGACAACCAGTGGCAGCCAAAGAGCCTCTGGCTTAAAGCAGCAGTTTGAGTGACTGGCTGTGTATGTCACACTGACCAACCTGATCTGGGGTCAGTGTGAATGGCATACAGTAAAGAAAGGTCAGAGGTCTTACAGTATGTGTTGTATGTGAACTGACTTACCTGATCTGGTGTCTGCTGGCCTGTCTTCTGCAGGGCAATAATGGCAGTACGGAGGGGGTAACCCCGGGCAGTGATGGCCCCCAGTAGCTCTCTCTCCTCTGGGCTCAGAGCTGACAGGAGCTCTGCTGATGAGTCCAAAGCAGAAGAGGAGAGACCCTGGTGGGTTGAGGTCAAGGGAGGAGTTCTACAGGAGTCTTGCTTGATAGACTTCTAGGGAACAACAGACTGTAATAAGTGTGTGTTTACACAGACAGGCTGACAGCAGTTTTGACCTGAGATACAACTCTGCTGAGGAAGACTTTTTCAGAAGACCCACTTGCTAATCCTGATGAACCTCTTATAACCTGGCTGGATTCAGGGAGCAGACTTTACACAGTCTATTTTTAGAGTGTAAATCTCTGAAAACATTTTGGAAATGTGAACTGAAAAAAAACAACAACAAAAAAAACAACAGTGTTGACATTGATAGAATTTCAATTTCAATTTAAAGACATTTAATGAATGACTTATTGCCAACCTAAATATAAATGCAGTCAAGCTAATTCTGCTGTGTTGGGCAGTGAGCATGTATGATACCACAGTAAGCCCTATGTGTTCTTGGCTTATGTGTGGAGATTCATAGTACGGCTCAGAAAAAGGTAATGCTCTGAGCTTTAGGCTGTATTCATAGTCTGCTCCTGCAGACTGGAGGGAGGGCTATGCCCCAGAGCATAAGCTTTCATCAGCCACACTGTAAACTCTCACTCATTAGGCTACATGGAAAACAAACCTAAGGCTTTCATGGTTAAAGCATAGTGACATAATGTGAATGTGAAAAATGAAAAACACTGGATCTCATTAAAACATTAGATCACATCCCTTATTACAATATGATAGGATGTTTATTAGAAGTTGTTTTATACAGAGCAGTCAGCAATGTTAGGACAGATATGGGGCCTTTTTTTCTATCTTTTGAGTGTGATTTTTCAATTTGGTTTTAAGTTTGGTTTAAGTACAAACTGTATGCTTGATTACCTGCATGCCAGGTTCATCCTTTCTCACACTCTTCTTCTATGCACCCGTTCAATCTGTCAGTCTGTTTTTAGATGTCGCCTCTGCTCTTTTGTGCAATAACCCTGTTAAAATTTCTTAAACAATAGAATGCCAGGTGTAGTGTTGACCCACTCTTGAGTCAGGAAGATGATGTTGTTTTTTTCCTCTAGTACTGCTGCAAGGACAAGGGCAAGCAATACTATATCTGTCAACATATAGTTTGAGCAGAAGCAGACCAAGGGTGAGGCGAACTGAATGAAAAAAGGTTACTAAAAACCGCCTGTTACAGCACCGACTTGTCACTCAAAGCTGCCACGCCATTAAGTATGCATAACGCCAAAACTTTTGGAGTTTTATAAAAACTTCACCCTGTACAGTTGTCATGAATGGGGAAAATAGCTACAGAGACCAAAACAGTTTTTGTGCCAGGTTGTAAACATGTTTATTTGAATATGGGGCTTTATGGAGGCTGACTCACTTCTGTAGCTAGCCTCAAGTGTCCATTCAAGGAATTGTAGTTCTTTTGCTTCCGTGTTGGCATTTGCCAGCCACAGAGGATGCCGTTTGGCCGAATCATCTTTGGACATGTTTTTACAAATGAAGCTGCAGTCTGAGATCTTTTCTGATCTAATTACTTACTTATCATAACTGATAAAGCTGAAGGCCTGGAGTCATGAACCAAAAAGTGAAGTATTTTAATTTGTCACAGAAACTTTGGTCCTCCAAACTGGGGACTGGACTGTGTATAAAAAGGGCTACAGCCCCCACATTCTCTCGCTCATTTACTGTGAATGTAAACACCCTCACATTAAAGAATAAAGTTTACCTTAATTTTTATCTAAACTTTGACCTTGTTGTTTTCTAGGTACAGTTTGATGAAGGACAGAATCAAAACAATGAAAAATGTATTTCAGTTTTGGCTGTGTGGGAGAATGCATCTTGAAAACATCAAAAACATATTTGTGAGATGCTGCAGGTCAGTGCTCATTTCTAAGTTAGGTTTACCACACCCTGGACCTGAGGTATCTTCTTCAAAATGTCAGACTGGTATTTAAAATGTTTAATTATGTACTGTGAATCAAACTGGAGCACCACTGGTCACACTCCAGCATGTTCTCTTGTATTGAAATGTGTATGTCTTACCGACTTGTCCAGCACTGAGAGGGAGGACTGACGTAGGTTCTTCCTGCGCTGGTATGGCAGGCTGCTGAGGCAGGCTGGAGGGTTCAGGAGGTCTGGGATGAAGGCTCTCTGTGCTTTCCTCAAACCATGCTGACATGAAGCAGCAGGACGCTCTCCATCTGAGCTGGCTTTCACTGACAAACATGTCTTGGCTTTCTTTGTGGCACTGTCTCCTTCATCCTCAGAGTCTGAGATGGCAAACTTGGTGCGCAGGACGGCGGGGTTGAGGCTGTGGGAACGCTGTCGAGGATTGGGCTCCCAGAAGTCGGAGCAGTGGCGGCTGGCCAGGCGGCTCTGCTGTGGGCTGCTGAACATCATCCAGTATGGCGGACAAGACGGCAGCAGTCCTGATGAAGAGGAGACCAGCTGAGGCAGATGCTGGCTGGTGAAGCCACTCTGCAGCCCAGTTAGCACCCAGTTCTCCAGACTGAACTCATACTGTCACAGGGACAAAAGGTCAACAGGTCAATGAAAAATTATACCCAGCCAAATATGTAGCTTATGGTTTTCTAAAAATAAAACAGGGGTTGCATGGATTACCATGAAATTTCACTTTGCTGACTTTTCGTCTCACACCCATACTAGCAGCTAGCAGTTTCACTTTGCAGGGGTGGGGGGTATCGTCTTTAAAAACAATCTCAGTTTTGGCTCTTTTAACAGTTTTGAAATCTTAACTTTTAAAATTGTGCGTGAAGACCCCATCTGCTGTATAATTGAGAGGCCAGAAGCTGAAAGGTAAACAACGGCTGTAACAATTTAAATCTGAGAACCTAGCTAAACAACAAGCAATACAAAACAAGCATAGAAAGCTTGAACGCTTAGAAGAAGTGAAGAAGCTGAACGCCACAAGAGCTCAAATAAAGGTCTATGATCAAGTTGAATAAAATTCTGAAGCAACTGATTTGCTACATAACGCTGAATCTGCAGGAAAACTTTAAGTTCTCAACCTCACAAGTTCCCCATACATAACTCAAACTGCACAGACTTCGATGCCAGTTCTTCAAGTACAGAACAATTCGGATTTGGTCAATGTGCAAGCAAAGCTATAAGTGCCAATCGTCTTCCAACACCAGAGCCTGCATTATTCACTGGAGAGCCGTTGAAAATTCAAAGACTGGCGACTATCTTTTGAAACACTAATAGACACAAAAAACATTCCTAAGAATGAAAAACTACGTAAGAAAGGTGGCGCTGCAAAAAAAGTCGTTGAAGGATTTTTCCTACTAGGCACTGAAGCATTGAAGGTTCTCAATTAATGCAATAAGAGTCAAAATATTTTGCTGAAGTTGCCAGATTGGTTGGTATTCAGATGGAACCGCAAAGTGATGGAAGACAGATGAGCAAATGCTGGATATCCACCATTTAAAGAGTTCGTAGACTTCCTATCAAAGAAAGCAGATCTCAATACCTGTATCCTCTTTAAGCACTCAAAACTGTGGAAAGTCGTCAACAATGCCAAGCCATTCAAGCAAAGACACTATCCACAAACACGAAACAGAGCACCATCCCATCGTGCGTCTTCTGCAAAAGAACAGGACATGACCTTGCCACGTGCAGAAAGTTTGGTGAGAAGACAGTTCAACATTTTGTCAAGTTTGTGCATGCAGAAAAGCTTTGCTTTGGATGTTTTAAGACTGGTCATCACTCAAGAACGTGTGATGACATGAACACATGTGAAAGGTGTCAGAAGAGACACCCATGCAGCCCCTGTTGTGGCTCAGAGGTAGAGCAGGTCGTCCACTAAAGGTTGGCGGTTCGATCTCTGGGGACCGCATTATAATGCATTATAAACTTAAAATTACTTAAATGAGTTATACTGTGCTTAAAGCAATGTATAATTATAGTTAGAACACACTAACAATAGTCATAACACATTTTAAAGTATTCATTTTTATTTTAAATGATTCAGTAGTAACAGTTATTATAATGCATTAGTGACCAGCAATTATGAACTTTTATGATACTTTACTTGACTTGAAATTATAAAATACTTTATAATTTAATTATCGCTCCAAAAAAAGCTCATCTTAAACCCTATTTAAGCTGTATGATAATTATCCAAACCCAAAATTCATGAAGTCATTATGAAGGTTAGAAGATCAGTTGTTGACCGGTGCAGAAAAATGTGCTTCTAATATAAACAGCCATGCTCTCACTCGGGTGTAAACTGACATTGAATGAACATGGGAATGATCCAGAGGGCATGCACAGTGGTAACAGGGATAGACATACGCATACCGGAGTGAAACTGGAACGACACTGGAGCCGGATGGAGATAAGGGGATGCTCCAACTTTTAAAAACATCAGCTCTGCGCTCCTTACAAAATCTTCCCACTCGCACTCCCCTCTCCGTGCAAACTGGACAATGTACACTAAAGGTGACAACAGCTTCCTGTTTCATCGTGAAAAAACAAAACAAAACTCAAGCTTTTGAGAATCTCCAAAAATGACCACTAAATCCAAAATGGTGGACTTGGATGAAACGTGCTGCGACGGCTCCTGTTAACCACTTACAGTGACTAATAACCAATTTGTAATGTATTATATCTGCCTATACTTCAGGAATTTCATTACTTTACTTAAAGCACCTAATGACCACTTAGAGTAACTTATATATAATAATAAAAATTATTGCACTGTCCTTTGCAGATAAGTGGATAAGCAGATGAAGATGATGATGATGATGATGATGATGATGATGATGTCGTCCTTTGCAGGTTTCTGATACATTATTTTTAATTTGCTGAGAGCGAGGGACCTAGCAGAATTGGGTGTAGTTACACTTTAACATCATTGCCTTTCCTCTGGCAGCACATTAGCCCCAACTTCACATATTTTGCCCCAGTAGTTGCGAGCCAGACAGCTAAACATGAGCTGAAAGAGTGTAACCACAGGACGTTGGCAGTTGGTATATAAACATACACAGACAAAGAAGAGACACACTCACCTCTGTCTCCTGCAGTATGATGAGATAATCAGGGACAATAACTTTGAGTACTTCTTTAACTTCCTGTGAGGCACCCTGTGGCATCTTCAGGGGGACATCGTCCATATTCCTCAGTTCACTTAGAGACAGACACACACACATGCACACACAGAGTTTGACCTGATTAAAACATGTTTTCATTCATTTACACCAGAGGTTGTAAGGCGTGCCTCCCAAGGGGCACACACAAGCCATAATTTGCAACAAAAATTGCACTCCTTTACAAAGTCATAACTGGTCAAATCTAAACACAGACATGATAGACATATTTTTAGGTTCAGTCTGACTTACACTTCACTAGGATATCAATATCTAAATGTCCATAAATGCTGCTATAGGCCTAGACTATCGGGGGATTTCCCATGATGCAC